GTGTTAGAACGAGCCGTTTTAGGTAGGCGTGGCTGACTCTTAACTTTTATAAAGAATATCTCTTTGGATTTGAGACTTTAGTCTTTGCAACTTTACAGATCTTCTTTATGCACCAAGAGCTTGTAACACTCCAAAGAGAAAGGAAAAATTGAAATCGCATCATATGACCCCTTTAATTTTTGAGCTTTAGATACTGTATATATATTCGTGTCTTTACCTTAAAGGGGTAGTTCACCCAAAAATGAAAATTTGTTAATTTTTCTTGAGTAGAACAGTAAAGAAGATTTGAAGCTGAAACTGTGGTCCTTGTGATTTATTAAAAGCAAGTCAGCGACTACCAGTTTTTTAAAAAGCATATCAAGGAGCACAAAATGAATACCCGCGGCTCCTGACGATATATTGAGGTCTTATGAAGTGAAACGATCCGTCTGTGCAATCCAGAGCCTCACGCAAACAGCGATTGTTTTCTTTCGGACAGTTCGTTTCTGGCTCAAATAACTGATTCGCCAGTTTGTTTACATCAGTGATGGGCAAACTTGGCCCTTCCAGGCCACTTTCCTGCAGAGATTTGATCCAACCCTGATAAAACTCACCTGCCTGTAGCCTTCTAGTAGTCTTGAAGACAATGATTAGCTGGTTCAGGTGTGTTTGATTAGGGTTGGAGCTAAACTCTGAAGGAAAGTGGCCTGGGAGGGCCAAGTTTGCCCACCCCTGAAAGTGGCCTGGAAGGGCCAAGTTTGCCCACCCCTGGTTTACATAATCACACAATGATGTGACGTATACACAATTATATTATTATTAAAGCACCCAGTAATTATATGAAACCTGGATGTTTTATATGTGTAAAGCATATAGTGAATAAACTAGTATTAATATACTCAAGCTATGAGAAGCCATAAAAATGTTCATGTCGCCCCTTCATTTCATTCCACAGTGATTTTTGTTTGAGTTTTTGTTTTTTTTGTCAACACTAGAGGGCAGAACGGCCAAAAAAATGTAATTACTTCACTTATAAAATCCGTGTTTACTTGCGCAAGACTTTTATAAATATGAGAAAAGCACAAGATCACAGAGTCTCTGATCAGATTACAGTACATTTAGCATTATGCATTAATTGTACTCATTGTATTTTTACTGTTTTCCAGCTGAATGGTTTAATTGTTGTGTTTTAGTGTGTTGCAGGTTTGCAGTTGAACGTGTGGACGATCTGGCCTGTTTTATATGCAGTGGGTGATATAGTCGATCATCACTGCTCAGGTCAGTCGTGTTTGTGTTATTGAATCTGTGTGGGTTAGATGAGCTGATCCCAGATCTGTCTATAAAACACACGTGAAGAGGAAGAGTTCCGCGTGGATATCTGTGACTTATCCAACATCTGATCTCTCCAATCCTCTCTCTCTGGCACACACACACACTTTACAGTTCCTCCGGTCCTCTTCCACCTGTTTATTCTCTTACTATTAAATTACTAAGAAACAACGCCTGCAGACTCAGTATGTGGAATAATGCATCCTCAAAAACTTTAATAAAGCTCACGATATTATAGAGCAGGCTATATTTGTGTTGTGATTGCACACGGCTGCAGCTGGATATGGCGAACACTCTGGAGAGGGAGATTCTGGAGCGGGAGCTCCGTCCACGGCTCTGTTATTTGACTAAAGGAGACCGCGGCTACGGATTTCATCTGCACGGCGAACGCAACCGAGGAGCGCAGCTCATCCGCAGGATCGAGCCGGGCTCCCCCGCGGACCTGTCCGGTCTCAGGTCCGGCGACCGGGTGGTGGAGGTGAACGGAGAGAACGTGGAGGGAGAGACGCATCAGCAGGTAATGAGAGAGGAGAACCTGTTGGACCACTTCAACATGGGACACAGACAGGGATGTGTCTCACAACCTAGTGAGCTGCCCACCTAGACGGCGTTTTTGGGAATCATACCGATTCCTTTGAACATTCCAAAAGCGCACGAAAGTTCCAAAAACGCGCAGAGCTGTCTATATAGGGATCTCACTATGTTTTGAGACACAGCCAGTGTATTCTATTCCACACTGAGGTGATAGCGTTAATGTAGATTTGTTTAAGATTGTATCATTGTGTGTTGATGTGAAGAAAACACTGCAGTCTTGCCTCCACCCTTACAAACACTTACAGTGGAAACCACAGTTATTACTGTAAAACCGTAATGAATGGACATGGGGCATCTTAAAACGGTGCAATAAGTTTACTTTTTACTACGTGTCTAATGCCACCTTAAAACATTTTTATATAAAAGTAGCCTATGTATTACCATAGTAAAGTAAATATATAAAATACCAATACCATGCTGAATGACATATTCATACTATGGCATTTATATGGTAAGGAGTTTCTAAAGGGATGTGGTGATGGTATAAAAGTGAGGAAAAAAAATATTTCAATGCCTTTGTGTTTCCCAGAGAAACTACATTTAAACTAAAAAACTTGTGTTTTCTTGCCAAACTTTGTGTACACATCCAAAACTTCTGCATTCCCCCTTATGCCGAGTTCACACTGCACGATTTTCAAAGAAGTCACATCACTTGGTTTCACACTGAACGACTATCTGGGGTAGCATTCAGTTGTTGCTGTGTTCACACTGCACGACGGAACGACGACAGGCGGTTATGCCGAGTTCACACTGCGATTTTAGCCTGATTTTTCACCCACCGACAGGTTTTGCGAAATCGCCGACAAATGCCCGAAATCGGAGGCAAATCGGTGCTCGTTCACGCGAGTGAATTATCAACGACGCGATCTGAGGGAATCGCCGACGCCGTGAAATATTTGGCATGCAAAATATCTGGAGCTGTCTGCGATTCACAATCACGCTGTGCGAAATGAGTTCTGACTGAAAAACACATCGGCGATGACCTACAGCCAATGAGGGACCAAGATACAGGGCAGCGGGAAGTTCGTGAAAAAAAGGCTAGTTTTGAGTAGTAATTGGGTGGGTTTTGTAGTGAAAACCTGGCTACCCTGCACCAGACAGAGCTGTCGGGCGATTCTCCTTATCGTAAAGTCATGCAATGTGAAACCCCCTGTCGCCGATCCATCCTGCAATGTGAACACAGCAGCAACTGAATGCTACCCCAGATAGTCACGCAGTGTGAAAACAACGGCGATCCGACGAGTTTGAAAATCGTGCAGTGTGAACTCGGCATTATGCTGAGTTCACACTGCACGATTTTAGCCCGATTTTTCACTCGCCGACAGGTTTTGTGAAATCGCCGACAAATTCAAAACTAGCCTGAAAATAGCCCAATTGCTTTTGAGGGGGTCCCCCACTAAAAATCGTGTTCAGGGGTAAAATAATTTATTTTTTGGCGAGGTTCTCCTGGTACAATTCACATTCCAGGGCCTAAATATCACGTTATTGGGGTCGCTTCAACCTGCTGACATAAAAAACAACCGGTGGCAATCACGGATTTGGCAACACTGGTCCGCAAACTACGTTTCATATAACTCCTCCCCGAATTTCCCGCTGCCCTGTATCTTGGTCTCTCATTGGCTGTAGGTCATTGCCGATGTGTTTTTCAGTCAGAACTCATTTCACACAGCGTGATTGTGAATCGCCGACAGCTCCAGATATTTAGCATGCCAAATATTTCACGGGCGTCGGCGATTCCCTCCCGCGTCTTTGATAATTCACACTGCGTGATTGTCACTCGCGTGAACGAGCACCGATTTGCCTCCGATTTCAAGCATTTGTCTGCGATTTTGCAAAACCTGTCGGCGAGTGAAAAATCGGGTTAAAATCGTGCAGTGTGAACTCGGCATTAATCTTTGCATGATCGCGCTTGAAAACTTTTGCGTTCCCCTGATAAACTTTGCATGCAAAATTTTTGCATTCCGCAATAAACTTTTCGTTCACGCAACTGACTGGTCATGTATAGCCTACTAGGGGTGTAATGATTCATCGATATGGATCGATACATCGATATGATGTCTGACGATACGATGCATTGATGCTACGTGTAAAATATCGATATCTGTAGTATAAATAGACACCTTTATTTTGGCACTGTCCACATTTTCACATAATGTCCGTCTAAGCATTAACGACAACGCGTGCATTCTCGTTCAAACTCGCGTATCAGGAGTCAGGACCTCAGGAGTCCTGAGGTCCTGATACGTGAGTTTGAACGAGAATCAGGACTGAGTCAGGACTCGATGGCTGCATCTGAAAACTCTAAAATGCTGCCTTCGGAGGCAGCATTCCAAGGCAGGAAGGCATCAAGGAACATCCGAATCCAAATTCTGCTTTACTTCCTGTCTCCGGAGGTACCTTCTGATCGAATTTTGAAGGCAGCATAGATGTATACTTCGCTGCCTTTGATATCCCACAATCCTGTATTGCAGGTGATCCCACCCACCCGACACACAGCTTCTTCAGTCTGCTGCCATCAGGGAGGAGACTGCGGAGTCTCCAGGCCAGGACCAGCAGACTGAAGGACAGCTTCATCCATCAGGCAGTCAGGAAGCTGAGCTCCCTCCCGACCTTGACCCCCCTCCCCTCTTTTGCCTCATGCACCACTGAACTCTGACCCTCTGACGGACTCTCCCACTCCCCCCTCCCAAATACACACACACACTGTCACTTTAATCAGTCTAAATAAGCTCTTTTGCACTACAAATCATTATATCTGCACTGTTGTTTACTTCACTGGTTTGCAAGTCAGCTGCCTAAGTTTGCGGATGCAGCCAAGGACTGCCCAAAAGCAGGGACGCTTGGGATTGTTTGCGGAACAGTCGAGCGCTGTGTGAGAAGTTTTCTGTGCGCACATCTGAAACGCACACACACAGACAACCGCGTCTACACTGCGCGAATACTAAATTGAGTTCTCTTCTGCTTTTTGTGCATGGATGAATAAATACAGACAAAATTACTTCAAAATGCGCGTTTTGGCGAATATCCTAGTAAACAT